GCAGAGGATATCATCGACTTCCTGGACCTTGAGTGTGTTAAGGTCCGCCAGGAACGTCTCCGCCTTAAAGAGCACACCCTCGCCGCGATCTCCCAGCGCTTACACAATCCCGATCGCACTTTACCGATTATTCCTGTGCGYCTCGGGACCTCTACTAGAGTCTATCGCGCATTATGGGACTCTGGCTCTACTGGCGACTTCATCCATCCTCGCGTAGTCAAGGAGGCATCCCTCTACACATCTTCCTACTCCTCCACTRTCACTGTCACCCTTGGCGACAACCAGGCCAAATCCTTCGTCGATTTTGTGGTGCCTGATCTTCCATTTTCCTTTCCCTTGCGGATGCCCCRTAGCCTTCGCAAGGCCCCCCGGTTCCATGACCAGTGGACTTTCGACGTCATGGAAACCATGTATGACATTATTTTCGGCACTGCCTACTCACATAAATTTGCTCATTCTGGCCCTGATTGGGTCCACAACGACCGCGTCCTCTACACCAAGGACGATCAAGGGTATCGTATTCCGTTGTTGGGCAAATCGGACCCTACACCTCCTCCCCCTGTTAATGTCTCCATTCTGACACCTACTCACTTTAACCACATTCTTCGCCAGCCGGATGCCGAACTTTACATTGTTGACATCACGGATCTTCTTACCTGCAACTCCATGCATCAAGACGTGGAATTGGTCGAGCTCGATCCACCACCCCCCGAGCCTCCAGATCCTCCTGATTCGTCGGCTCCTTCCATTTCCACGTGCTCATCGCACTTTGTCGCGTCCTTTGACAGGGAGACACCATCCGCACCTATCCCTACGCCGACTCCTTCCACTCCTGCTTCAGACGCTGCTGCTGCTAAGGAATTTGATGACCTCCTAGCGACATTGCAGCCAAGCGTCGCTACTCTCCTTCGCGAGTATCGCGATGTCTTTCCTTCATCTGTCTCCTATAGTAGCATTCCTCCTATGCGTGACATCGAGCACCGCATCCAACTCGAACCGAACTACCGTATCCAGCATCGAGCCCCATACCGCCTCTCGGTCCCCGAAGCCCAGGAACTTAAACGCCAGATCGACGAGCTGCTTCGTCAGGGCTTCATTAAACCGAGCACGTCACCGTGGAGCGCACCAGTCCTCTTTGATCGAAAGAAGGACGGCGCCCTCCGCCTTTGTCTCGATTACCGCGGCCTCAACCAGTATACGGTCAGAAACAGTTATCCCATGCCCTGCGCAGATGACCTGTTCGACCGCCTCGCTGGCAACCACTTTTTCACGAAGATTGATCTTCGCAGCGGATACCACCAGATCCGCGTGGCCAAGGAGGACCAGCACAAGACCRCGTTYCGCTCTCGATTTGGACACTACGAGTTCACTGTCATGCCGTTCGGCCTCCGTAACGGTCCTGCCACCTTCCAGATGGCTATGAACACGATGTTCCAGGACCTTCTCGAGGACTTTGTTCTAGTCTACATTGATGACATCCTGATCTACAGTCGTACCTTAGAGGAGCATATGACCCACCTCCGCACTGTCCTCSAGCGATTATGCGACCACGGATTCTATGCGAAGCTCTCCAAATGCGCCTTCRCTCAATCCAAGGTCGACTTTCTAGGACATCAGGTCTCCGAGCATGGACTCCACATGGACGACTCGAAGATCCAGGCTATCGTCGAGTGGCCTACACCTACTTCTCTTCCTGCGCTACGTAGTTTMTTGGGGTTGACCAACTACTACGGTCATTTTCTTAAAAACTATGCGCAGTACTCTTCACAGCTGACTCCTCTGACCCGCGGACGTCTACCCTTCCATTGGACCCCGGCTCATGAGGATGCCTTTCGCTCTCTGAAGCGACTYGTCACGTCAGCCCCTGTCCTACACCTACCCGACTACTCCCGCCCATTCATCGTCACCACCGACGCGTCCGACTTTGCCATAGGAGCTGTCCTCTCCCAGATTTACCCAGCCCCTTCTACTTCTCCCGACCCCACAGAGTCTCGTCTCCCTCGCATTCCTCGCTTTCCCCCCCCACCCTCAGCGACTGCGGCTCGACTTGCACCTATCGAGCCCACCCCCTCAKGGGCTCCACCTCCCTACACCCCTGACATCACTGATGACGGCACAGTGGAGTCGCGCGATGGAGAGTGCCCAGTTGCTTATCTATCTCGACAGCTACTTCCTGCTGAGCGTAACTACACTGCTGACGAGCGTGAGGTCCTCGCGGTGGTTTACGCTATTAAGAAGTGGCGTCATCACTTACACGGTCACACATTCACCGTCCTGACGGACAACTCTGTCCTCGCCGCTTTCCAGACGAAGCCGAAGCTTACCCCTCGCCAGGCTCGTTGGTGGCGTGATCTCGCAGAGTTCGACTTTACCATCAAGAAGATTACTGGGGAAAGCAATCGCGTAGCTGATGCCTTATCTCGCCGCCCCGATCTTCAGTGCGATGATCGCCAGCTCTCTGCCATTTCATTCCCCGTCATCCACCCCGCTTTC